AGGGGAGGGGGGGGGGGGAGAATAATGTTATATGTATCTAAATCAAACAAAAATACATATTTAACTTCCAAACTGAATTACTATGTTTATCTATAAAAGAACAATATTTTTTGGTTTAAAATATCTAGAAAATATGTCATAATATTATTGCTGTATCTTAGAATAATTTAGAACCTCTTCGATGATCTCATAGGAACAGTTTCCATATTGCATGGATTGTTTCCTAATTTGATTAATGAGGAGTCTAGAGCTAGTATAATGGCCCAGCTTTACTTGACTTCTCCTTTAGAGAACCGTTCCTCCAACTAGCTTCAATAGAAGCTGTATGTTTTAGCTATGTTCACTAAAAAAAGCCACTTAGCATTGTATTTTCAAAAAATGTGGTCCTGATTTCTCATTTTAAGAAGAGAGACCCACAAAAAGTAGAGTCAAATGCTACCATGATACCTGAATAGGGGATACCGTTTTATATTTTGTAACACATTACACACCATATATCAATATTATTCAATTTTTGTCCTTTCTATTCCTCCTTCTCTACTTAAATTCCTATAATGTCCACATTTGGCATCAAGCAACAATAAGGACAACAGAAAGAAACAGAAAACACGAACAAGAGGAATCATGTTTTACTGAGAGGGGTAGGTAAAGTTAACATTTAAAACTAAGTGTTACTTTAATATTTTTAAGCAAGAAACAGTATCACGTACCATTAGAGAAGTGATATCTTTTCTTGGACGACTTCTCCGAACCCGAGACACACAAGGAATTTGGACATCAGAACCTCCAAGAGAGTCTGATCTGGTGACATATGTTCTCAACTCTGAAAAAGCATTTCTAGCAGCAGGCCTGACATATGAAGTTGGAGAAACATGTCCATGTCCTGCAGTTCTATTAGAAATCAACAACCTAGGACTGTGTTCTCTAGATTCATTTTCAGAGAGCTCTTCAATATATCTCTTAGTAGGTTTCCGAATTCTTTTTGCAGCTCTTTGATCTGTCTGGTGATTCTCATCTTCCAGTCCATATCCCATACTGTGATTTCTCAGTTTTGTTTCAGAAACAACTTGGTTATCGTCAATTTCCCGGGCCTTCACAGCAGATGAATCCTTAAAGTTGACATCCTCTTCTTCAGTCATAGTTTCCGAAGTGATTAAAGATGCGGCATTCATATTTCCAGAATTGTCTTCAAATTTTCTAACTATTTTGTTATCTTTAACAATGAAAGTTGTTGCTGAAACATCACAAGAGTTGGTTAAACTCATGGCAATCCTTCTTTTCAGCCACTGTTTGTCTTTCACAGTAGTTTCCCGACCAAAAGTTACCTTGAACAGTTCATGAAGTTCTCTGATTGATAGCTTGTCCAAGCATATTTCTCCATCTGACATTGAAAGATCAGGCTTCAAATTGGAATAGACAGCAGAAGCAGATGATCCACTTTCTATTACTCCTTCCGAAGGTCTGGAACACTGATCAGTACTCCCAGATTGATTACTATGAGTATAATTTAAACTTGATGCTATAGAAGGAGTTTCCTGGTTTTCGGATTGAACCTTCCCATCCACGACAGGAAATTTATCAGCTGAACACTGACTGTCTATATTTACATGAGAATGAACAGGTGATCCACATGATACGCGTTGTTTCTCTTCTTCTTTGACCTTTTCCAAAATCTGCTCAATGTACTACAAGAAGTTTTAGAGGTCAAGGAGAACCCAAGGAAACAATACTAAAAATACCAGGATATGCAGACATGCAGGCAAAACCCTTGAAACTGACAATGATCTAAGGGAAAAAAAAATTCACAGCATGCCATTAAGAAAATATGGGGTAATTAATCACTTCCCAAATAAAAACCACATAAATATCGCAAAGGATAAAAATCTAAGGTAAAAGACTCATACTGAAAGCTAAATCCAAACAAGAACATATATTCTTAATACCCATGATCAAGAAAACACTGATATTTGATAACACCTATTTTAACTTTCTTGTTGTGTACAAGATCAAAAAGTTGCAAACTTGCAATATACACAAGTAAATCCAAGCACAAATATTTTCTATAGTTCTGCCAAACTAAAGTATCCAAATATTTAATGCTATAATATATTTATTAATTGGATAAACCTAAGTCAGTTGTTAGCAACTTAGCATGTAGAACTTTTTAATTTAAGTTATCTTTTACTAACTTACTCGTATTACTCATACAGGGTAAACTTATTATTTTCTTTTCTTTTCAGATAAAAGAAGAAATTTTACTAGTCAATAATGAGAAAAATTACAACAGGAGAAAGTACACATTGGCAATGCATGATTGACACATGGGAAAGTGAATCTAGGAACTAATCTTTTCTGAATCAGAATACACATGCCTTAACTACAAATATATAATAGGATCTCCTGAGAATACATCTCAGAGCCACCTCTACTCCAAAGAATGGACAAATGTAATTATACCAGGAAAAAGCTTGCTGTGATCAATTCATAAATGTTTAAAATTCAATTAAGTTATTAAGTAATAAATAAGGTCATCACTTGCAATACATTTCATAATTTAACTGAGAAGGGATATGAAACAGATTACTTCTTTATCAAGTAAGCTCGAACAGAAGAAATATTAAGTTGGACACACCAACTTCTCTCAACAGTTCAACAGGTTCATAATAGGTTGAGCATAGTTTGAGCATTTCAATTTTATTTTTCTAATGCTGAAATCATTATAGAGAGGAAAGGAATGAGAGAAAAGAAAAGAGAGCAAATTACCTGTAGTTTTGCATTTAGTTTCCCCAAATCTGCCTCTGCAGTGCCTAAATGTGAAACACCCATGGCATTAATTGAAAGAAGATATATATATAAAAAAATCTTGAAAGGGAAATGAACAAGTTAGCCAGCATGGCATATTCAAAAACTAAAAGAAAAGTTATGACCATATAACTATCGAGAACATCAAGAATTCGTCAACATTTTAAATAAGAAAACAGGCAGTATAGCCTTTCAAGTTACAAAACAAGCTAAATAATTTTGGGTAAGAATAACAATAAGTCAATAATGCATTTAGTGACAAAAAACTTGAGCAATGTCTGAGAGAAACAAAACCTTGAGCCTTCAACAGCTTTACACACACACATACATATATATAAAACTGAAGACACCAACACATGCAACACTAAAATCCCTGGTCTTGGCAGAGATAAAGCTACTGTGAAACAGCCAAGAAATTAAAGTATATAGTTTGATGTATAACCACTACTACAAATGCTTTAACATGGCACTCAAATGTTAAGAAGCAATTGTATTGTAACACTAAAAGATTGAGCATGCACCTTCTGAGCACTCCAATCTAAGATTCCCAGAAGATGACCTTTCAATTGATATGCACTCCAAACTTTGCCCAGTGTCTGCAACAACATGCATTTCACTGTTTTCACACTCAAGAAAATCCCCCACCTCCATTACTTCATCATCTGTTGCTGGCACTAATCTCCCATCACCTTCAACCTAAAGATCATATCAGACAAACAACTCATAGAATTATGAATGTAGCCTTAACAGAATTATAAATCACATAAACAAAATGTAGAACCAAATAATAAAATATTTGCTTCCAAATAAATTCTCCCTATCTTTGACTTAATTAAACTAATATAACACATACTCACATTCCATTTTCATTTCAGCCATTACAGAAGATTAGGGAAAGTGGGAAAGCGAGTTAATTTACTTAAATAAAAAAACACAGTGATTAAGGAAATTAATATATAGAATAACTAAAGGAAGACGGAAACCGTCATGAATTTTGTTAATTTGTAGTTGAGATCGCTGGCCATTTCTGGAAAAAGAAAAAGAAAAAGGTATCAAGGTATTATGAATGCTATAACAAAAAAAAAATAGCAAACAAAAAGTGATGCAGCTAGAATAACAAAATCATGCTGACTAAAATTGTGCATGTTAGAATTATTTATTTATTTGGGATTCTTAATTATTAGATGAGGGTGGCACGATGAACAGTTTCGTTCTTGAATGAAACAAAAAATTAGAACTCTTCAGGCACAATGTTTAGGCTTCTAGTCTAATAAACAGGTGCAATATAAGGCTGAAAAATAGCCTTACAACCCATACAATGGTACTGGTATGCAAGGGGGGGAAAAAACTAAGGTTCCCTAGCAATTCCTTTCCTCTTGATTTGTTGTCATCAAGTATCAAACTAAAAAGCCTTACAAAATGCATATCCAAATTATAATGAGAAAATGAAAATTCAACGAACAACAAAATATATACCCGAACAAGCTTGTATACAATTGGATTGGAAATTTGCTTCGGTGAAGACAAAGCAGAACTGCTTCTATCCACCCCACTGTCTTCAAACTTCCCATCATCATTATCCTCAATTCCCACCACAGTTTCCATGGAGTATCAACCACATGCACACAAACTGCAAAACCCCAACACACAAAACAAACAAGTTAGCACACACAAATCCCCCATTTCAACAAAATCAACTCAAGCCCAAATAAAAAAAACTCAAAATTGATACCGCGAACACCTTAAACCTTCAAAAATCAAAACTTTTACCCAAAGAAACCATGCCCCACGAGCCCAAACCACCAATTGATCACTAAAACACCCCAAATTAAACAATTACCTCACACGCACTACAAAACCAGAACCCCAATTCACAAATGCCACAAAATGTTGCTCCCACAAAGAAATGCACAATTGGGGTGACGAAAAACTGAATTAAAAACAACCCATGTGATAAAAACTTAAAATTGGACTCACCATAGAGTAGAGAACGGTTCCACTCAGTAGCTGAAGCAAAAAAAGAAAAACCCACTCAGTGAAGGAGTTGAAAAATGGTTTGAATTCTCTTCGGATCGTTTATAAGAAACTTCCTGTATACGTAAAGCGAAAAAAATGAAATTGAACGACAGTGGATTTTTTTTTCCTTTTTTTTGTTCTGATGTGAAATTTATTTAATTAAATTTTGTAATAAATTTTGTGAGGGTGGGTGTTGGAGAGAGTGGAGAGTGTTTAGGTCTGCTTTTTGATTACGCCGTGAGTTGAACTACGGATTCCAAAAAGTTTAGTGAAGTGAATTGAATAGTGTGCGTGGATTCCGGATTTTTTATTTTGCTTTGGACTCTCTCTGTCTGTACGTCTGTCTCTACACAGCATTCAAAAAACATATCAATGTAAAGTTCATTCATTTCGTTTTTTGGACGCAAAAAGGGTTCGTTTTTATTGTTTACCCATACTTTCTTAATTTATGTCTTCAATCTTACAAAATTAGCACTACTATATTTATCTTTTTACCTTTTATGGTAATGATTAAATCCAGTTTAGACTAAAAAAATCATTTTTTAATCTTTTTGGTAATTTTAAAGATTTAGAAAAAATTATCGTGATGAGTGTTGTCATATATATTTATTTGTTAAGTTAATGACCATTTTATGTTAAGTAATTAAAATATTAATATATTTTCAAATGATTTAATATTATTATATATATTATACTATTTTGACTTCTATATCCTTATGTCTGGGAAAAGGGGAGGAATTGAAAGTGTAACATTGGGAGTTAAATAATTTTGTTGTGATGTTGCTAGTGAAGAGGAGTTAGATGAGTTCTAGGTTTTTTTATTCTCTTTCTTCTTTTATTGTAGATCCTGTTGTGCTTTGAGCTTGGATGTTGGTAGTTGGTGATTTCTTCCGACCTTGAAGCTCAGTTCATTATATAGTAGTGTGGAGCTTAAGAAAGTCAAGGTTGAAGTTGCTTCTTCTTCTTTTTCTTTCTTTCCTTTCATTCACGTGGTTGGAGTTCTTAGAGTTCTATGTTCCCTTAGAGAGCTCGATATCGAGGTAAGGAAAGTTGGATTTTATTTTCATACAAGTTGTTTGATTTGTTATTGATTTATGAAGCTTAATCTTGGTTGAAAATATTGAGATTTGTGGTTAGCTTTGAATTATTTGCATGTTGAAGTTGGGTTTGGGTTTCTTAAACATGTAGAGGAATTTAAGGTGATGGATGATGAAATGTTGATGCATGTTGAATCTGGTGATGAAAATGAGTTGTAGATGGTGTTTAGGAAAAAAAATTTGTACAGTGTAGGTGAGAAATGAAGGAGAAACTATGAGCATGCAGAAAAAACTCTACACTCAATGCTGAAGTGTTGGTTTTGACATTGGAGCACTGGAAATACCCCCAAATAAGAAGTTCAAATAGATATCCAACATTGTAGTGATGAAATGAGTGCTACAGTGGTGAAAAATAAGGTCTAGCAAAGATCTAGTGTTGCAATGGCAGTTAGGCACTGCAGCGATAAGGGAAAACTAGGCTGGCAGAAATCCAACGTTGAAGCGCCAAATTGAGTGCTATAACGATAGGGGTAAATGACCGAATTTGGTCTTGGAATCTTCATGAAAAGTTGTAACCCTAAATGTTAACTTTCCAATGGCTTTAAAATCACCTTAAAAGGAGGTTTAGAACTCAAGTTATGACCATTTTAGTGAGCAAAGATCAAGTTGTCAGCATTAATCCAAACTGTTGTAGTTTTTATAATTTTCAACATGGTAGATGATGGAATTAGAACTTGAGGTCTTCATGAGAGTTGTAGAAAATCTTCTTGTCTTTCATATGTGATAAGGATGAACATTATAACAGTAGTAAAATTTCCTATGCATTATTTTATATGAAGATTGTTATTGTATCATAATTGGTTTTTGATAAGTGACACGTTGATACAAGTTATATAATGTTGATTTTGAGGAACATGAGTAGATTAATTCCTTCTATTACAAGTAAAATGATGTATGGTAAAGGTTCTATTTATGTTTATTGTAAATGACATATATAGATGAGTTGTATATTGTAAGCTTGATCACTATGTGCATTAACTGGATATAATGTATATAAATGATGAATGTATGAGATATTCTATGTATGATCTCTATGTGCCTTGACTGGATATAATGTATATAGATGATATATTGTTTGAGACCTTGTATGATTGATCTGTATGGGCATTGATTAAAGGTAATGCATATAATTGATCGATGTATAAGGTGTAGATGCTAAAAATGTGGGAAGGCATTTAAGCATGTGTGTGACTAACCCATGGTTGAGGAGAGGAAAATACTTGTGAAATGAAAGGTCCCACATAGGGAGCCTCTAGTTGATGCTCAGGTAGACCACGTGTAGTGCTCAGGTAAGTCACTATTTGGAAAACCCTCCTTGAATGGGCATGACTCTTGGAATGGATTTTGATGTGAGTCACTTTTAGTCCTTAGTTAGTGGTTGAGTGAGGTAGGAGGTTGAGGGCTACAATCCTTAATCAAGTACCTGGAAAAGGTTATGTGATTCCTTAAGGATGGTCAATGGGCTAACTCCACATGTTACTTGGTAATGCATGTTAAGGTCGTGATACACCTAAACCCAACTATACCATTCTCAATCGTGGAATTTATTCAATATATCGTATGATTAGTTTGCTTATTTTATATAAAATGTGCGTATATATACATATATATTATAAATTTATTATGACATAAAAAAAATATTTATATAAAATTCAATATGGTCTTTCTTATTGTTTAAAAAATTTAGTCAACAAAATATTTTTAAAATATAAAAACTTAAATATATATTTTTTACAGTATTTAAATCATATTTTCATATTTATGATTCTAATATGTTAATTAAGATAACCACTTAATATTTTGTTGCATACATATCAGGTGATTATCAGGTGATTAATATCATGTATTTAAAGTGTTAACATCTAAATATTTTTTCCACTTTAATCCAATAGATTTTGATATAAATAATTATGGATGATAAAAATAGCATTGGTAGGTTTTAGACCGAGACGAGGAAAGTTTGATCCAAAGGTGTACGAAAAAGATCAAGACGAAAGTTGACGATGTTGCGATTGATGAAACCATGCAGGAGAACTTGGAAGGTTTAAAGGAGTAGACAAGGAATAAATGTTCATATGTGGATAACTTACTTTTTTTTTGGAAGTGGAAATGTTTTTATTATTATTATAATTGCCTTCTAAAAGAGATGGAAGGTTATAAGGAAGCACTCTTGACTAACAGAAAATGTCTAACTTTTGGAGAGGCATGTGTGAGGCCTAAAGGCTTGTTAAACCTCATATTAAATGGATAGTAGGTAATAGAGCCATGATTAATTTCTAGTTCCATAGTTGGGTTCCAAATTCAAAGAAACTAATGCTCTTAGCTTCTATTTATGTTTCTTTGGTTGAATTATCCAAGAAGGTGAAAGATTATGTGAATGCATAAAGAGAATGGGTTATATATCACATTTAGAGCTATATTCCACGAGAAGTTTGGTTGTCCATTAAAACTCACTCCTCCTAGTATAGCGGTTATGAATGATAAGATAATTTGGGGGAAAACCAACGATGATTTTTTCATGTTGAAATTTGCTTATGAAGTGTCCATGCCACCCTAGATTACGACTTTAGATTTGATATTTAGAATTATATGGAGATAGAAGGGGGTTAAGAGGATACATGTATTCCTTTGGAGGGTAGCTCATGAAAGTTTGTTGACAAATGTTTGTCGTACCAAGTGTGGTTTGACAACAATCCCTACGTGTGGTATATGCATGCAAAGAGAGGAGAATACTTTACATGTTTTATAGGATTGCTCTTTTGTTGCAGAAGTCTGGAAGAAGGTTTTTGGAAACCATGTTGGAGTGCAGTTTTTCAGTGAAACCTTGTGTGTATGGATGCATAAGAATCTATTTAAGGTGGATTCCCAACTGATGAACTAGAGTGTTCGTTTTGCCATTACTCTTGATTTTATTTAGCATAGACATAACAAGTTTATATTTTAGAATTTTCAAGTTTCATCAAATCAACTAATGGTGGAAATAATTGCTAGAATGACTACTATTACGAATGGTTTTATTTTGGAGGATTAAGAGGTTCAGTCTAGGTTTGACCGATTGAACTCTAAATCACTGTTCTAGTGGAAGTCCCCTCTTATGGGTCATATGAAGCTTAATTGTGATGGACAATCACTAGAAGAAAAGAAGCTTCTTGCAGTGGAGTGATTTGTGATGACTTAGGGAGATTTATAGTTGGTTACACTTGTTGCCCAAGACATTGTTCAATTATTCAATTATTTAAACGAAGCTTCAGGCTATTCTTCATGGTTTATGACTAGTCCAATATAGAAGGCTTGACAAAATGATTTGGATTGAATCTAACTCGTCTTTAGTTGTAAAACTCATTAATGAAGGTTGTCTTAGATCACATCCTTGTTTTAATATTGTCCAAAAAATAACATAATTGATTCAACAAAGTATATTTCATCTTGTAATCATATTGTTTAGGAAGCTATCTGTATTGTGGATTTTTTAGCTAAGTTTAAGTTGCCTATGGGAGAAAAGTTGAAGATTTTTTACTCTCCTCTTAATTCAATTCAAGTTATATTACTGATAGATATATAGGTTTGCTTCTTCTTTTATTAGATGATTATAATTTGAACTTTTAACCCTCTTACTCACAAAAAAAAAATGTTAACATCTATTTAAACAACTAGGATCTATTTAAAAAAAAAACTAATTTTTCTTAATAAATATTAAATTTAGAGATTTGATTCATGCATGAAAAATAATCATATCTTTGGAATGAGTAGTTACTTAAAAAAATCTTTAAAATGTGTGAAAAACAAGGTACCTTTATTTATTTATTTATATATATATATATATATTATAAATACTGCATTATATGAATATGTAATGACGAGGGATTGGATTCCTTTGAGGAAATATAATAAAGTACGAATAATCTATGTCAAGCACCAACAAAATACTCTTAATATTAATGTACTATTAGCATTTATTTTTTTTGTAAATCATGTTTCACTTTATGGCTCCTGCTTGCTGAAAATGCTCCATCGATATCCTAGTGTAATTTTGTGGTGGATAGGAAAAATGATTACCAAGTTAACAAAATTAAAAAGCAAAAGGTATAATTATTGTCACGTGATGATAAGTTCAATAACTAGCCAATCTTAACAAATTGTTAAATGCGACAGATATTTGAATAAGAAATATATAGATTAAGTTGCAGGATATATATGTAAGTCAGAATGTGTATCCTCTTCCGAGGGAGATACATACAAAGTTGTGAAATGGTTAAAAATATGTAACGTTAGTTCTTATTTTGTGTGTATCTCTCTCAAAAAATTTAGTTTCGAAAACGATAAATATTTATTTTTAATCTTTAAACATTTTATTTGATTTTAATCACTCAAATTCTTTTCCATGAACAAAAAGTGACTGAAGTGATTGAAAGTGAAAATTGAAAAAAGTTCAAAGGTTAAAATTAGTAAAAGATATTGTTTAGTGATTAAAATTAAAAATTAATAAAAGTTTAAGAACTAAATATATATAATTTAAAAAATTAAGGGATATATATATATATATATAATCCATAGAATTATATAGATTCAGTAATCTAGATTCTTTAGTAACATGTTTGACAAAGATATGAATGTATCTAGAGAAAATACTAAGTGAAAGTAATAGAAAATTCTATAAAAAGCATTTTAAAGCATACGTCAATTTGGAGTTTGAACTTTTCTATAAATAGACTCCTCAAACCTCACAGATGAAGCCAAGCCAAAAAGCTTTGGGCAATCACTCTCATTACAGATAGCCTTATATTCTCTTACATAGCAATTTTTCTTTCATTACAATGCTAATATTCTAACTCGAACACTAAAAGTCCCAAGAGAAACAGCTATGCAGAAACTCAAAATCAATTTAACCAAAATTGGGACATAAGAAAGACTACTTTCACACAGTTCTACATTTTGAACAAAACCAAGGTATTGTGTAGTGTTGATTGTGCTGATCCCAAACCCTCTTAACTGCAATGGTACATAGTTGGATGTGAGCGTTCGTGCTGCTACTGAAACCTTAATTTTCAACCTTGGTTGATGTTTGGCAATACTATGTAGGTAGCGTGAACATGCTTGGTCGAACATTAGATACACATGATCCACTTTAATCTCATGACTTGGTCTGTTCAAGTACACATTGAACTTGTTACCTTCACCTTCACCCCCTCTGATATTGAATTCCAAAACTGAACCCCCATATGGGACTTTAGGAACAATAAAGCCAAAAATGAAGCCTAAGTGAGAGGAGTGTGGAGCAAGAACAAAAGAAACATCAATAGTCATATAACCACGTGTTGTCTTATGCTCCAACCATTTTGGAACCTTGCTTCCTGGGTTCACATAGGTGCCTTGAGCATCACCAAATGTAGATAAATGTTGGTGTGCAAATTTCATCATGTTAATTTGTGCATTCAGTGCAATAGCCTTAAGAGAATGTGCATCCAACTTGAAGCAGTTCCAGAAGGCAACCCTTTTCTTATTTTCCTTCAACTGTTCAACAGCAGAAGAAGGGAACTTTACAGTCTCCAATGATATGCATCCACTAGCATCTAGTGTTTCAAGTGATGGGGGAAGCTCTGGTAGAGTCTGAAGGTTCTTACAATGTCTTACATCTAAATGTCGAAGACTTGTAAGATGCTTGATGCTTGGAGGCAAGTTCTCAACATAAGTGAATCCTAGAAAAAGCTTTTCAAGCTTGGTTTGAAGTCCAATAGATGAAGGTAGTTGTTTGATAGCAGTGAGTTCTAAATTCAACTTAACCATATTCTTTGAGGTCACTGAGAAATGCTTTAGTGCCATGCAGCCATAGAGGGAGAGATAACGAAGGGAGTCCAAATGGATATTGCTTTGAAGGCTTGTAAGGGAAAAGCAACCACCTAGATTCAATTTTTTGAGCTTGTTGAGAGAGAAAACAGATGGATGAACACTAGTCAACCCTACACAAAACCTGAGATCTATCCGTTCAAGATTTATGGCCTTTGAAAAGTCTGGCAGCTCCTTTAGGTGTAGGGATGAGTGGAGTATGAAGACCTTTAAATTCACAACATCCTGTAGCAATTAAAACAAATCAAGACATACATTGCATGAGCTAATGAAATTAAAGTGGTTAATTTTGGATAAAATGAATGGACAAAGCTTAGGTATTAGTGTTGATCTCTAATCAAAATTTGAGTTTTACCTCGATAATATGTGCTTATATTTAATGCATAACATATATTTATACATATTTTTGAGGTGAAACTTCAATTCTAATTAGATAATAATAATAATTGTACTTGTGTTATGTACCTTAGTTTTGTCAGAAATGAATTTGATGAATTAAAACTCAAGTTAATGTAGAGATATAATATTTACCGGCACTTCTTGCCAAAGTTTTTTCACTCGGCTATAAGGCATGTTCAGTTCAACAAGATTTTCCCCAGAGAACTTTGAAGGCAAAGATTCCAAAGGGTAATGAGTCCAACGAAGATATCTTAGCTCATTCGGCAAAGATTCAAGCCCTTGGGGAAGATGCAAGCTCCCTTCATCCCGGAGGAGACTGCAGGAGCATGAACCTTTTCTATAAAAATCTAGAAACTGCAGTTTGCTCATCTTAGCAAATACTTCAAGGTTTAAGTGCAAATCCTTGATTCCTGACAAGTTGATGACTATGCTTCTGATAGCCTCGTTACCCTGCAAAAGTAGAGGAAAATTTCAAACATCATTATAAGCTATTTTCCTAAAAACAAAAAATCAAATATTCTCTCTCTATCCATCTTTTACCTTGTTGTATTTTAGTACTTCATAAATGTGATCAGGATCTAATAATCGACTTTGGCTTCTAGGATCTTCAATAGATTCCTGGTGAGCAATTTGCCAACCTGTTTCTTGCACAATGTTGTGCATTGATACAATATTTTCTTGAGAAACACTTATAAGAGCTTTATCCTTCAACCTTTCTAATGCAGCAGCCACTGAATGACCATGATCTTTCAATAAAGATTCTACGTACTTTACTTTCAGATTCAGTCCATCAAAAAAACATGCAATATCCAAAAATATCTTCTTTTCATCCCAATCAAGATCATCATAACTCAGTTTAATAATATCATGAACCTTTTTGCTTTGCACTTTTCTGAGTCTCTCTAAGTGGCTTTTCCATATTTCTTTACTTTTTCCACGAAGAAGGGGAACCAAAACTTTAAGAACTAGAGGAATGCCTTTGGCATAATCAACCACTTTCTTTGATAGCTCACGGTACTCTCTTTCAAGATGATTTTGTTTAAAGGCATTCAAATTGAAAAGCCGTAAAGATTCATCAAAGTTTAATGCCTCAACTTCGTATATATTAGCAAACTCTGTAGGTAGCACCTGCTTATCTCTAGTTGTTATGATGATTCTACTACCTGATCCAAACCAATCACTTGTTCCAGCTAAAATTTCCAGTTGTCCTGAATCATTGACATCATCAAGAATGATAAGAACCTTCGTACGATGAAGCCTTCTCTCAACATATTGAGGCAATCCATTTGGTGTGTCAATTTTCAAATCTTCTCCTAATAATGTTGAAAAAAGCTTTTTCTTCAAAGAGATGATTCCATGTCTTTCTGACTCTTCTCTTATGTTAGCCAAAAAACAACAACCTTCATATTCAGAACACAGTTTACTATATACTTCTTGCGCAATGGTTGTCTTACCAATACCCCCCATGCCCCAGATTCCGACAATAAGAACACCTCTTGCTTCTAATTGTAGCAACGATTCGACATGTGCAATTCGTTTGCTAATTCCAACAAGTCCTTTGGAGTTAACCTGGTGCACATGATTCAACCTCTTTGACACACATTTAACTACCTCTTTAACAAGCTCAGCTTCATCCCTATGCAACCAAAAATAGAAAGGAAAAAATGTATATATAAATCCAAGGACACATTATAATTATTTCACTTTGAATGTAAAACCAGAGATAAAGTTCGGATCTTTGTGAAGATATAATTTTTAATTTTTATTACTTCAAGTGCAATTAATTTAACCATAAAATTGAGTGGACCAAGAAAGTATGGCAGCATGATTGAAATCTATGCTAGCATGAAACTTCTTGTAAGATCATTAGAGACAGTGAAATTAAGTGAATACCAATCATACAACTACATTGTATAATGTATATATATATACATAGCCAGAAAAGATTGAACATTTATTGTGAGGGAAAAATACTTACCGAAAAGTTGATGAATCAAATCCTGATAGATTAGCAGATTCATTCAGAGCTGATCTCCATGTTTGTAAAGTGGTGAGACTATATTTTCTTTCATGTTCAACAAAGGCATCTGCATAAGTCCCCTTCTGATGTCGCACATGTGAAGGATCTACCCTGTAGAAAACAGGTAGCACAAGCTGTCCATCTTCTTTTCTACACTCAACAATTTTCGCAAGTTCCAACAAACACCAACGCGAAGAAGCATATCTGATATCAGTGGGACATAATTTTTATCAAATACACTCAATTTCTCCGGGGTCTCTCTCCCCCACCTTCTGAGAAATGGGGAGCGAGAGAGAATGCAGTTGGAGAGAGAGAGAGAGAGAGAGAGAGAGTATACGCGGGGTCCAACGGTTGGCCTAATTTAGGCGAGTAATGAGGTTGTATGTAACAAGGAATCTTTGGACCTGTCATGACTCATGAAGACAGAAAGAGAGAGAGACATTGTGACATGACGTGTCAAAAATGGTGGGCCCAAGGCCCAAGGCACTTTTGATTGTGTGGGACCCTTTTCCTATAATACTCATCTCATGGTGCTCTCATGTGTAGTTCGGTCCATCCCTTTAGACTCCATTTCTGGGCCACACCTCTCTAACTCGGATTGCCTTCATTATTAGAGATTGGAATTCAAACCACCCTTAGTCTCCTTTTTCTTCTTTTTTATACTTTTACCAAATTGTATTATTTTATGTTTGGTTAAGAATGTTTCCTAGGTATTTCATATTTGGGCTATTTTCATACTTGTTAAACAAAACAAATCATCCATTCAACTCATTATTAATACAGATAAGGAATTATTCTGTCTTAATTAATAATTTACATTTTAGATACTACATTCGTCTCCAAAATTATAAATATTTACAATTAAATTACATCTTTTTAAAAAAATAATTAATTTTATTTAAAATATTAATTTATCAATAATTTAAACTACTTTAAAAAAAAAAAAACTAATATCTCTTAAATTAACTTCTTTTTTTACATAATCATTTATCACTTAATTAATTAATGTTTAGATGAGAGAGGTATCTATATGTTCATTTATTTTTTCTAATTTTAATAAGAGATAAAGTTTTATCTAATTAATTTTAAATATTTATTATTTATTATTTAAAAGAATAATTAATTAAATAAAGATGCTTAAAAATATATTTAATACAGTTAACAATTAGAATAAAATCTTATATACAAGAACACGCAAAAAAGTGAAAAAAAATATAAGAATATAAGTAGTAAATAATTATGTTAAATATTTTCGAAAAAGTTTTACAACTTTATTGTTCACAATGATTTTATAAAAAAAAATTATCATCAACATAAAAATACAAGTGATCTATAAAAAAGAAGAAAAAGTGTAACTAAAAAGAACTTTTACATTTTTTCCCTTCTCGTGATTTTTGTCTTTTTATTTATTTGCATCGGCGGCATGACAAATCTTGCAAAATATTTTTCTAGACAAAATTTTTACTTTTGATTGAAATTTAATTTTTTGAATATCATAAAATTTTATAATTTTTTTTTCATAATTTGTAACTCCTAAAATTTTGATAAGATAAAGAAAGTGTACAAAAAAGAATGTTAGTAGTTTTTTTTTATTGGACATAATAGCAATGGTTAGATTATTTTCATTTCTATTGTGAGGGTGACTTGTAATTAAGCTAGTTTATTTTTCCTTTCTTATTAATTTAGGGCGTACGTGATTTTAGCTTGTTTATTGTACAAATTAAATATTTAATTTATATAATTGAAGTTTATAATAAAAAAATATTTAAATTAATAGTTATAATAATTATTTATACTTGAATATACAAAAATGTGAATTTATAATAAATAATTTAAATTATGATATAAAATTATT